AGAAATAATCCAACACAGTATATGAGTCTTAACAGAGTTATCAAGTGAATGCATATGCAATGATTGCACCCAAAACATTTTATATCTCTTTCAAACCATGCAATGATAGGTTTATATCACAATTCATAAAATATTTCCTTTTCAATAGAAAACAGGGTACTGAATCACAACTCTGGGAATCGCAAACAAACACAATCTTTCACGGAAATTTCGTCCGTAGGAAAATCGTAAACTGGCACCCATGTAAACGTAGGCTATACAAGTATTACTATTTCCATTTCACGAACATTTCTTCCACGAGATCGGCACCCATGTACATACGTGGTTTTTAGGACTTTCACCATGGACACACATGCCAACTTATTTCAACGAGACAACAATTACTTCCTAGATTCACCATTTTTTCTCAAAACAATAACATTTACAATGTGTTAAATATACAACAATGCTCAATCCAAATGAATGAGAAATTGGTTTTAATTCATATAGTCCTCATGCAATTTCTACAACAATCAAAACTATCCTCCATTGATAGCCCAAAATAGATATTTCTAATCAATAAAAAATTCCAATAACAGTAAACATTTTCATCATTTCCAAAATGTGAGTGATATTACATATCCAACTCCACCATCATCATTAATATTTGCATTCTTCCCAATCTTACAAAACCAACATCATCTTACAATGTTTTCCAACACAATTCAAAACCCATAGTTTTGGAACAAACCTCATTTTCTTTCAAAATCACTTTTGAGTGAAGAAGACCATTATTTCAACATATAAGAACCATCATCACATCCACCCAACCTTTATCCATGGTTTCATTTGAAAATCGCTCTTTTGATTTCAAACCAAAACCCTAGATTTTTTTTCAAAATCCCCAAACCACAATCTTGTTTTAAAAAAGCAAATAACTAAGTTAAAAACCATACAAAAATGTGGAGAAATTCCTACCTCAAGCATTGAAGGGGAAGAGGAGAACTCGGAGAAAACTCGACGTCGATGAAACCAAGAACTTTTCGGATCAAAAGGAGGCCCTTGACAAGATCTACAATCTATCCCAAAGGACCAAGATGAGAAGACACCTCTAGGTGAGTAGATCTGAAGATCTTAAGTAGGAAAAAGTTAAAGCTTAGAAAGAAAAGAGTAGAATCACGATTTGAGAGGAAAAGAAGGAGGAAATAATAAGAGGTGTGTTTAGAGCCTATTTATAGTGGCTAGGTATTGATAGAATAATAGCCTCAAAGTCAAATGAAAAGAACAAGTCAAAATCCCCAAAAAGTAAAGCCCAAAATGACCCAAAATCTGGAAATAACTCACAAGGGTCGACCCACAAGTCGGTGGTGTCAACCCTCAGGAAGAAATGCCAAAAACACCAATGTGTATAGCGGACAAGGTGTCGACCCCTGAACTCGTGGTGTCGACACCAAATTTTAGTAGCAAAATCTAGACTCAGCAGCAGACAAGTGTCGACTCCACCCAGACTGGTGTCGACCGCAGAGGCCAATAACAAAAGACAAGTGTTGACCCCAAATTTCAGTAGCTACACCAAAAGCACAGCAACAAGGTGGTGTTGACACCACTAAGACTCGTGTCGACCCTAGGAGCAGAACATAAAGGGAAGGCAGTGTCAACACCACCAAATGGTGTCGTCCCCTGAAGCCAAAACCAAACATGAAGAGAAAAGGAAAGACTGTCACAGATAAGGTTTTCCAGATTCAAAGGCAATAAACGAGTTGGGTCTAAATCAGGATCGCTATAATGATTGCATCACACTCATTCTAGAACCCCAAATCTATCACCATTTGGGGCTTGCTAAAATTACAAGCTTTGGGTCACCAAATGGACATGTGGTGCCATCCGGTTGGCGGTCATTTTCAATACAAGCAAAATTACATATATACAATAACTCACATGCTAAACAAGAAGGTTTACCAAGGTAAAAATAAATAAGAACCAAAAGACTAATAAGTTTGCCACTCTAATAAGTTTGGGGTTCAAGTTTATAATTTTGGAGGTGCGGAAAGTTACATTTTTGGGACTCTTTTAGTAATTACTAGTATAATATGATTATTAATTTTTTTCAAATTTTTGGAGGCATTATCCCCTTGGATCCATCCTTGGGTTCGGTGGGAAAAAGAGCTGAGTGGTTGTTGAAGTTGGTGGTTCGGACCCAAAACGAAGATAGAATTTTATTATTGGAGGGGTCAAAAGATGAATAAATATTTTGGTGTAAATTATAAATACACCGTTTGAAGTTTGCTTAAAATATGGATTGTCTTTTATGATTTCAGAAATTACTTCACGCTCTTTCAAGTTTCTAATCACATAACAAATTGCTCATTTTATTAATAAATCATCAAGTCAATAAATAGTCTTTAATGTTATGAGAAATATATTTTAATTAATAATTCAGGTAATTTTATTGTTATATAGAATGCTTAAAATATAGATTGTCCCTTATAGTTTTAGAAATTACATCACGCTCCTTAAAATTTTTAATCACATAACAAATTGTCCATTTTATTAATAAATCATCAATTCAATAAATAGTTTTTAATGTTATGAGAAATATATTTCAATTAATAATTTAAGTAATTTTATTGTTATATAGAAGAGTAGTTAGAAATTTCATTTTTTCTATTAATTTTGTTAAATAAAAAATTCTAACAAAGAAGTATTTGTAATTTCTAAAACTACAAAGACTAATTCACATTTTAAACAAATCTTGAGAGATGTATTTATAATTTACTTTTTTTTTTCTTTTTTTTTTTTGTGTTCACCATATACAGAAGCACACCTATATGCATAATATGATACATAAATTATAGAGGGTAAATTACACTAACACCCTCTGAGGTTTTTGTTTAATACAGATTCTCCTTCATATTTGAAAAATTACATTCCCCTTCCTGAGGTTTGTAATCTCATTACAAATTGCTCATTGGATTGTTGATGTCATGCCCTAAAATTTTTTAAATGACCATCTTGCCCTTTTTCCTACAATTTTTTCTTCCTATCATCATGACTACATTTTATAACTTTTCATCATTAAATTCTACCTGAACATATTCTTATTGAGTGATGATATACAAACATAAATTTTATATAGGAATTTCAAACACAATGATATAGTTTAATGGTGACATTTCACTTTAAAACAAAACACCCATAAACATGATTTATGTTTACAACAATATCACTATCATAATATTTTTATGATATTTTTTTGTATAAATTTTTATATATGAATATAATTTTTCATTTTTATTTCTACCATTATATTTAGATTATATAATCTAAATATATTTAAAAAGTATGAAATTTGTACAAAAAAACTTTTAAAAAATTCATTGAATATAACAAAATAAGATAATGTATTGAATTTATACATTTTTTGTATTTTTTTGTATTTGGTGAATTTAAAAAAAAATCACAAAATATTATACTTCTTAAGTATATCTACATTAGGTGTATCTAAAAAATAAAAATAAAAAATTACTTAAAACATTAAAAAAATAATAATAAAAATTTAAAAAATGAAAAAACTCAATTTTTTATGTGAGTTAAACCAAAGAATATGATTGTTATTTCCTTTGAAATGATATGAACAAAACTTCTTCAATATTTTATTATTTTATATATATAAAGGCTAAAGGACAAATATGTCATTTTAATCTGATAAGGGTTGAGTGTAATTTTTCCAATGTAAAGGGAGATCTGTATTAAATAAAAACCTCAGGGGTTATTAGTGTAATTTACCCAATTATACATACATACATACATACACACAACAAAATAAAATAAAAAAAAAATTCAAACACTACGGAAACAATTGTGCAAGATAAAAAGAGAATATAAGATGGGAGAAGAATGAAATATATATATTTTATACTGATATCATTTTATGCGTAAAATGAGATACATATTTTTTTAAATACTGTGACAAACAATATTTTTTACAAAAATATAGGGACCTCATAGTCTTTTCCTAATTTTGCCCTCGTGGCGACGAAATTAGCGACTGATTGATTACAAAATTTTAAGATTTTGTCTTTATTGATGATTTGAGTAGGATAATATTTTTGAGATGCACAATATATTTGAGACGCATTTAGTGTTTCGCTAATGTGGTGTTTGTTGGAGTTGGAGTCACTGCTTTGTGGCTTGTACAACAGTGACTGTTGTATGGTTCATGAGAATTATTTTGGACTTTATTTTCATCATTCAAACCGTTAAGTTGATTGGATATTGATAGACCCTTCATCAACTCACATTTGTATTCAATTTAATATTTATATATATTTATTTTTTATATATACAAATTCAAGTTGATGAAGGGTCTCGATATCCGTTCAATTTGACTTTTTATTAGTATATTCTACTCGATGTTCATTAAAAATTGAACGATTCGGATGATGAAAATAAAATTCAAAATAATTTTCATGAGCCGCATAACAAACACTACTAAGCAAGCCGCACAGTGACCCCTGATTCGTGTTGTGGATGACTAGGAAGTGGTGATGGATCTGCCTTGAAGTCTCACCATAATGTTGAATATCACTTTAAAGTGGGGTGGATCCGCTTGATTTTGATGGTTAGATATACCCGTAAATGGTGTTTGGACAGGCTGCGAAGTAGTATCGTTTATGTTTCAAAGTAATGATTTTAGTTAGTTATGCTATGAAAGTGAAGGTGCATATGAATATGCATCCAAAATAAGAATGCCATGTAGCAAGACCCAAAAACAAAACACACCATTTTCATATCCATTGATCGAAATGTTTTTGAAAATTTAAAATTAACTTTTGGGTGTTTGATAGAAAGTGGGTTCTTTTAACAAAAATTCTTAAAAACAATTTTCACAACCAGTCGCCAAACAAATTTTGTGTGTTTTCCGAATGAAAAAAAAAGAAGAAAAAAACAGGTTTTTTGATCAGTTTTCACCTGTCAACACAGAAAGATTGTGACAGAACCATCCAAACTCCTTTTCCCTCTATCAAGATACAAATATATAATTTTGATGATGGGATGTCAAAGATAATTCACATAAATGTTCTCCAAAAGAGTTGGTGGAATGATGGCAAATTTGTACCCATAATCTACAGTACACCAACCTTTGGAGTTGCACTGTCGGTTGATGATGACAACCAGTCAGAAGATTTAGACATAATTAGCCTTCAGTGGGCTCTGAATAATACATATGAATGCTTAAAACAGTTGAGAAAAACCGACTACTCCAAGACGTTCAAATATCGACCCTCTAATCCCAACGTCGGGCAATTCCAGAAAGCATAGCTTCACATGACCAACAACCCATGTTCTTGTAGCCAAAAAATGACAGTAAAGACGAGTCATTTCACGCACAAGTTATTTTGGTTTCTCTAGTATTTGGGTCAAGAGATTAACTAATTAACCAACTAATCAGAGACTTTGAAACTCGGACCACAACCATTGGCACCTTCTGAAAAAATTTCAAACTACAGAGTACTCTCTAACCTCTTTGCAGATATTGGGAACCTTAATAGGGCTTCAAACTCTATAAATAAAGCACAAAATGAAAGTAACCACAGCTTTTGCATTTTTCCCTTTAGCCCAAAATACATGAACAATCTCCTCTTCAAACTTACAATAGCAGAATGTAGACAACAACACTACCTCCATTAGTGGTCTTTTAGGAAGGCCACTACAAACAACACTTGCGGCTTTGCTCCACACAATTTTCCATTTGATGCTTAAAATGCTCACATCAAAGGGCATAAATCCGATCATTTTCAGAATTGGAGAACTCAGAGTGTTGCCACGAGGTTGATCCACTCCTTGCAACCCTCCTCCTTATTGATCGGCTCCTTTTTGATTTAACTACATAATAAGTCATGGTGCCAAGAACCCCGGCCATTATCACCCCCCCAACAACTGTAACCAAAATTGCAGCCCACTCATGCTTCCGACCAACCACTATATAAGACGAGGCCATAAACGCCACAGAAGTGCAAACAGAAGCCAACCACATCAACTTGTTAATCACCTCGACTACCCTTCTCTCGGCTTTTGTTTCACCTCTAACCAATGTAATCTGAACGACCACAACAGCCAAAGATGTAAATAGTGCAATGGCATTAAAGATGAAGAAAATTTGGAATGAAATACTGCTTGCCACCACTGCCATCCCATTGTCATTGTCACCACCAGGTACGGTGAAAATAGCTGCAAAGGCAACTGTAGCGAAAAGCACGGCCACCACAGTTACTGAGTTGGTAGCATTATTGATCCCTTCTCTATGGAGTTTTCTGAGCTTTTTAGCAATCCCATGAACATTTTTGTTGGTCCTCATGGTTTGTTCAAGCTGCGTGTGGACGTCGTTCTTAATCTGAGTCACGGTATTCCTCAACTCGTCCCTTGGTTGGTTCAATTCATTAGCTCTAACAGCACCAGCGCGATAAAGGCAGTCTTTTATCGCAGAAGATTCCTCTGAGAGGGGAAGCTCTTCGGCTATGTCAATAGCAGTTTTGTGATCTCTGGTCAGTGCATTAACATTGGTGTCTCGGAGGTGTAACAATTCATTCACGATCTGCAAGAGAAAAAAAAATAAAAATAAAAATCAATACTGAGCCAGGCAGTTGTTTAATTTGGAGATCGAATCCTCAAATATTATTCGGTCAAGATTGTGGGTGGGAAAATAAAAATAGGGGAGAACAAATAATCAGGTAACTTGAGAAACAAACATAAAACATGCACGACAAGCTAAAGAGTGAGAAGCATGAAGTTAGAACTATTGGAAGTCCACTTTACACAACATTTTTGTTACAGAACTATTTGAAGTCCACCTTTCACAACGTTTTTGTGGCTTCATACAAATTACAAATTGAACAACAGAAATCACAGCCTGTTCAAATTTGGTGGTGGAAAACAAAGTTTAAACAGAAATTAAGATCACAATATACACACAAGGCACAATATTTACATCAGCTGGGAAAATTACATGAAGCTTATGTAATCTCCTTCTGACAGTTCCTGTTCTTGAATAAAGGGTGAATAGTTTGCTAATTCAATTTACAAAATTTAGGCCAACTCCATAACAAGATGAAAAATTGAGAATTTGAGAAAAAAAATCAATTGAATTTGCATCAATAGTTCATAGTAAGGAGAAATTGGATTATTGAAAGTTCGGAATAAATTAGATTTAAAAAACAATAATAATCAGCACCACCATTTTCATTTTGAAGTAGCACCACCAAAATTTACCTCTGCTCGCTTTTTCCTGGTGGCTACATGTAATGCTGTGTTGCCAAACTTGTCTGGAAGCATCACAATGGCTGCATCAGCCTCAAGTAGCAATTTCACCACCTCACAACTAACCCCTTTTACAGCCATATGCAATGCAGTCTGCCCTTTCTTGTCTGTCCTCCTTGCCAATTGTGGATCTTTGTCGAGCAATGCCTTCACAATATCCGCATGACCTTGTCTGGCAGCTAAATGCAATGCATTTTTGCCATTGGACCTAGAAATATCTAACAAGCTACAATCCTTTGATAGAAGTTCACGAACTACGGCTGTATGCCCTCTTGTTGCAGCAGATATAAGAGGGGTTGCATTTGATGGGCCCGTTGTTTTACATAGCTCTGGCTCATGATCTAGCAGCACCTGGACAATGGCTGCAATAAAATGAGACGCTATAAGTGTGCACTTGTCAGGTGTTGTTGCACAGAATATACATAACTTAGGAACAGAAATCTAGCAGAAACCAACATGTTTATTTAAGTGAATAAATGTAACCCTCCAAAACTTTAGATGTGGTGAATTTTGAAAGAGGAAATTCAACACCATGTCAATCCTTTCGGGAAGAAAAAAGTTTTCTGATGAATTCAAAAACAATTCAAATTTTGGGATATCATTTAAAATTTAATCGGGGAGAAAAGGATAAGAGTAAATCAATTGCAGAGGTACCATTTGCGATTGAAATTCCACCATTTACTCACAGCTTCAGTAACCCACTTTTATGTTTGACATTTGATATTTATAACCCAATATTTGTTCAAGAATTTTTACCTTTTTTTTCTTTTGAAATCACATTTACAAAACCAGGCAATGAAAATGAGAAAAGTCAGAAAGAAAAAGAATAAAACAAATCAAAAAATTAATCACTACCATGGTGTCCTTGAGTTGCGGCTATATGCAGAGGATCGAAACCAGACCGATTCTTCTTCGAAATACTTTCCTTATTTGCATACTTGAGCAACTCCTTCACAACATCAAGATGACCTCTATCTGCCGCGGTAAACAACACGGTCTCTCCCAATTCATTCACTTCATTCACAACCGAGGCCTGAATTTCTGCAACCTCAGAATCAAAATCTGCTCCGCTCAGAGTCCCCACCATCTGCAAATCGATACCGCCAAGAATCTGTTTCACCGCGGCCAGATCACCACGCTGCGCCGCCAAATGTAGCTCGGTGTCGTTGTGGCGGCCGGTGACCTGCTTCACGTACTTCTTCTTCCCGGCCTGATCGATCCGCTTGCCAGAATTTGACAAAACCAGAGCCGGAGCAGTCGCCGATGACGGTGACGGCGATGGCGACGGCTCCCCCAGAGGGTTTTGGTTCTGATTCGGCGGCGGAGGAGTCATCAGCCCCTTCTCTAAATCCCTTTCCCCTCCTAATCAATTACTCAACAGTTAACATACAAAAATCGAGGCCAAACATATATACATATATATATATGTATGTATACAGATGATTGAATTTTGATAGGTTTGATTGACCAAACCAGAAGTTTTAGTTTATGGAATCTGAAATTGCGGTTGGGAGAAGAATATCAATTTACAGTTCAGCACCTGTGTAGTAGTTTGAATTATATATTTTCTTGGAAAAATTTTAGTAGGAAGTAATATTTTCCGAGAAAATTAAACAAAAGGCAAATACATACAGTAAAGAACAAAAATGATCTTGGTAGATGTCCGGGGGTACACTGGAGAATCAAAGAGAATTGAGTAAAGAGAAAAGAGAGTGAGAGATAGTACCTTCCTCGATAGATGAAGCCATGTTGAGACTTTGGAGTGGGAGGTGCGAACCCTAGAACGTGAATTACAGAGGTGAGGAAAGACAAGTCAAGGTGAGAGAGAGAGAGAGAAAGACGAGGGGTTGAGTTGAACGATGACCATAAGAGGACAAGACGGAAGAGAGGAAGGTGTAGAGAAATGTCTGAATTTCGCACTAAAGTTGGTTTTGTATTGCCACACCTTTTTCACCTTTTTTTCTTTTTTGTCACTTTTTTTTATTTTTTTATTTTTTTTTAAATTTATTAAATTGGTATCATTTCAAAATTAATAATTATAATTTTATAAATAAAAAAAATTAATGGAAGAATTAGAGATCATTTTTTATATTTTTCTATAAATATTTTTTCTACTCTTCGCTTATATGTAATTCTTTCAACTTTAATTATTAATTTTTTAAAATTTACCATTAATTTAAAATTTATTTTGTAAAATTAAAGGCGAAACACTTATAAATCTTAAATAGTAATCTTATAAACTATTTGATCTTTTTTTTTTCTTTTTCTTTTTTTATTATGGATCCAAAGGTCCCATTTTAATGTTAACTATATAAAGGACTAAGTATAAATGTACGTGTGTTATGTGTTGAGAGACAAATGTTAGTTTTTTCATAATATTGAAATTACTAAATATAACACTTTAAAAAAATTTCTTAGTGTATCTTTTCTAAGCGTAACCCTCCAATCAATATAACACACAAAAACTTCTTACTAAACTTTTCCTAAACGTAGCAATGCAACATTTCAAAAAAAAAATAAAAAAACTCTTTAGTATATTTTTTTTTTCTCCAAATGTAACACTCCAATCAATGTAAGAAACAAAAACTATTTAGTATATTTTTTCTAAATATAACATTCTAATATAACACTCCAATGTAACACCAGAAGACTACACTAACAAAAATATAAATTTTTACGCTTGACAATCAACACTTTACCTAACAATCCTCTCAAAATGAATTTTTTACATCTCACATTTCCATTCTCATCCCAAAAATAAATCAAAAAATTGAAAAAATAAATCACAAAAAGGGCATTCACTTATGGCACCAAATCAACTAAATATAACTTTTTAAAACAAAAAAAGACAAATTAATTCATAAAAAAACTCTTAAGACTAAATATATTAACATTCTCTCATATGGAATTTATGATTAAATTTTCCTAAAATTAAACTAATTTTTTTTCTTTCTTTCTTTTATTTATTTTTAGAATTAATAACACTAACACCCCATCAATTATTAGTAAAAGTATCATTTTACTCATTTTATTTAGGGGTATTTAGTCTAACATCTCTTCCAACTTTTAGTAATGGGAGAGATTCACAATTTTTTTTTTTGTAGCCTAAGGTCTCTCAATTGTTTATGAGTTTGCTCACTCTCTTATTCTCTCTCTAAGCTGCCTTCGGCTCTCTCCCAGTCCTCCTCCATCAGTCTCAGTCTCAGTCTCAGCCTCAACCTCAACAATCACGGTAGTTCTCTGGTCAGGCCTGTAAGACCCCTAACTTTTGTAAACCTTATTAGGTCTCTAAATTTTGAGTTATTATAATAAAGTCCTTAGTTTGTCGATTATTTGCAAATTAAACCCAAGAACCGAAAACGCATCACGGACAAACCTATACAAACTCTAATCGATCCTGGAAGCATAGAAATCACTTCAAACACTCTAATATTAATTATTTAACTCTCAAATTTTAGATTAATCACTCTAAACCTTAACTTTCAGTTTTCACAGTTTTCGTTCGGTTATTTACTTTTAAATTCAAAGCAAGATAATACAAACCGAATTATTTTTCCTAACACTAATTTATTAACTCTACACTTGAAATATATATTTTAATTGAGCCCAAGTCCTCACATTTTTATTAAATCACAAATTGACCCCAAACAAGTACCATTATATATTTATATATACACTTGTACCATAAAATCTTTTTTTAACATTATATTTTACAATTTCCAAGATTTGTACAAAAATATATATATATATATATATAAAATAAGTCCCTCAAATCACCATTTATGGTCAGCCATACCAACATAGATATGATGAATGTACTTTTTGAGACAATTTAGCATGATTTAAGGAATAAAATCTTTGACTTGGTACAAACTTATATATATATATATATGCAACTAGGTTGGTTTGATTAGGAGGAAAACCCTCACTAGATCATATTTAGAAACCTAATTAAGACCTTTAATCCTCTACTATTCTATTGAATTCAAACTAAATCGAAACTATCCAATCCAATTCCAACCAAAGGGCATTTAGGACCTTTTGCACCAAATTCATTATTTAAACAACCCCTCCCTTAGCATTTTACATACAAGAACAACACTTATACACACTATATTCAGCTAAGAGAGAAGAAAGGAAGGAGGGTGAGCATGGTAGAAGAGAGGAGAGGAAGAAAAAGTTTTCTAGCAATTCCAACAACCCTCAAGTAAGCCACAACACAATTCTCTCATTCATTTTCCATTTTCAAATACATGTTATTAGAAGTTTAAAATGGTATTTTCAGATGTTTTCTAATGGTATTCTTGTGTTAAAAATGAAATGAGTTGAGCCTTGATTCTACTTTTCTTCTATTTTTCTTAATCAGTATGATACTACCTTTTTCCATATCAATCTCTCAAAATTTTCAAAGGAACACCTTCACCTTAAATTTCTAAGTTTAATACATATTATTTAGCATGTTTTCAGCACAAGAGAAGTGGAAAATTTCCGCTAGCTGACCTCTTTTCTCACAAACTTTCTATTTTCAAGAACTGTACCAGAAAAATTTGTTTTACAGCACCTTGCGAAAATTTTAGAACAATGTATAAAAATCTTCTGGACCTCCATTTTATTTCAAAATCTTTCTTAAGGAGTTATATTTCAAGGAAAATTGGTTTCATTGAAAACGAGTGAGCGGTTTGTGAGAAAATCCATTTTTTGTAATGGTCGACGAATCTGGACAGAGCTGGAGTATTTCTGAAATAACTAAAAATCTGGAAAAGCTATTCCATTTTCGAAAAATGTTCTGAGAACTAGATAAAATTCCCTATGAACCATAGGAAGGCCGGGCTCTGGAAAAATTTGAAATAACCCTTTTGAGTATAATCTTTAGGTAGTACTGAATCTGGAAATTCTGTTTTCATTGGTGCTTTATGCTCTTGTGTTCATGAATATGTTTATTAATTTATGATCATGTCTCGGTATGATATTACACGTGTTATAGGTTTATGTATTTTATTTTAATCCTTCGATGGTGCTCACACTTATGCAAATCTGGAAATTATATTCTTGTGTGAAATTATTCTCTTAACTACTTGAATATGCCTAGAGCTACTTATGCCTATCTTCATATGTGAATCTCATGTGTTGTAACTTTATTTCCTTCTATTTGTACTATTTAGTTGTTCATACTCGTGCAATAGTTGTTGTTTCAAGAGCATGTCCTAACTTTGACTTAAATTATCTAACTCAAACAAAAAGCTTAATGGGTGGTAATGGGTTACGAATTTTTGGACACATTATTAAGATATTGATTGGTTGACGGGATGCGTTTTAAAGTTTTGTGCAAGTAGTTTTCAGAACCCTTGAACAGAGCGATTGTATTAGGACCCTAGGTATTTGGTGAAAGGAGGGATTTGGGCAAGGCCCATTATTACCGTCTCTTTTGAGGCCCTGCAGTTGGCGCTACGCGGTATATAACCGTTGCTAGGCATCCAAGGTAAGTTCTGCAACAAAGCAGTAAAAGAGGGGGCATACCGAATAATCTGCATCCGATTCTTGCGGTTGGGAGGACGAAATCTCTTTGGGGGATTTCTAGACTACTAACAACTAACCCTATAACCTGTGTTAATTACTTGAATGTTATGCTCCTTTCCCCTATTGTTATAATTTGCTATTGTGTATTAGATTGGAGAAAAGGGACGGGGTGTGTGTGTTTACTGGGCATTCAAAGCTCATGACGTTTCACGCCAAGTATCGAAAAAATGTACAATGCCAACAAAGAGTCAAAGGCATTTGAAGACATAAGTTTGCCTTAGAGAAAGTTCAGAACCATTTCGCTTATTAGTTTGACTGTGCTTTTATTTATTCTTGGATTGTAATAGTAATGAGACTCATTTTGTAAATTTAAAATTTGAGACACTATAATTATTATTTATCTTGTAATCCTATGCCTATCTCTGCATTGCTTATGAGACCTTGCGTCAATGCCTTTTAAGATCTGTTAAAAATGTAGTGCACTACCTAAGAAAGCTAGACTTAGAAGGGAGGCTAACTTGACTCCTCTGGCGATCTAGAATCTTACTTGGTTATTGGTCATAGAACTCATTAGTGTTGTTTCCTAGACTCTTAACCTTAGATAAACCCTGTATTTAATTGTTGATATATTTTCTGATGTTCGCAATTTTTGGGGCGTCACAAGGCCAACCTTTTTCTGGTGAGTTTCTGTTGGCACCATAAATCTGTAATTTTTATTATTATTTACTGTTTATCTAATTGCAGAACATGTGGCAACTTCCTACTCATTTGGAGGTTATGAGAGGTTATGAAATGTGGAAAGATAATAGCGAACATGGAGAGCATGGAGTATGAAGTAAGGATTGAAAGAAGTTTTGGAAGATCATGGAGAATGAAATGGTGGAGATGGAAGAATAGGTAGTTATTAGGTAGTTTTTTTATTTTATTTTATTTTTTATTTTATAAATGTTTGCTTATAAATAGCCATGGCTACATTATATAGGAATCCATAACTCAAATTAAAGACAATTGATTTCTATTTTTCTTGTCATTTATATTTCATGCATTTTATTTTACGCACGTCCTTTTCGAAGCATTTATTTTCAGTACTTCCTTTTCAAAACATTTTATGTACTTCCTTTTCAAAACATAGGAGTAGAGGCAAGTAATTGTTATTTTGATTGTTCACTCAGTCACCCCGATTGTTCACACAATTATCTTTCTCTGTCTCCTTTATTCTTTTGTTAATTTTTTTTCTCTACACTTGACAATTTTGAAGTCCTCTTCATTAAGTCAAAAGAACCGTTAACATAATCGCTTGATAATTGGCTTGAATTTAATCTGTAATGATTTTTAATC